AATTGAAATACACGACATTCCCAATTCCAACAGCACAGTCAGAAAACCAAAATGTGCAAGCTCTGCAACCTAAAATCTGCAACTGCGCAGTATTGAAATTCTCAAAGCGGCGTCAGAAATACCGCGTTAACTGGCCGTGACTCGGGCCATATCTGGCGAGCTATCGAGGAACGTCGAGTTCCAGGAAATCCACTGTACACTTCTTCTTCACCGAGTGCAAGTGAGATACGGACGCTAGATACGTTTGTTTACTTCAGATACGTAACATCCGCGGCTCATTCCACCAAGCAAGTCCCAAGAACTGGCCAAGATAGCGATGGTAAACAAGACAATCTTCCGGTCAACTAACGCGACAATTCTCCACCTCGATAACCAAAATCTACCAAAATTCAGATACACTCCAATCCGTATCTCTTCTTTCGCCAACTTCTAATTGCAATATGTTTTTCTGACAAATTTCAATACAAAATGTACGCAACGTCAAGATGCAGAACCACTTGCACTCGACGACCGCTATGACGTAGTGCTGTCGCAGTTCCTTGAACCGCGAGTCAAAAGTAGGTCAATCGCGTTCTTGTGCGAGCAGCGTGTGTTATCCAGTGATGGCCAACCAGCTCGTGGACAAGTTGAAACGCAGCAGCTTGGAAACGCGCTCGTTAAAGCAATATTCACAAGGTCGTATCGTGTCTTTACCACTGGCTGATCACGTACCGGAATATATTATACGGCTGTGACTCCGCGTTACGTGCTTCTCATACAGACCAACCAGACGTATTCAACCAGGACGATAATTGAGATGGACACGCAACACACGTCCTTTGCTCGAGCAGGAACTCGCATCGTGTCCGATCTCTTCTCTCCTTCTTATCCGATCCCTCTTGCTGTGATCAGGTGAAAGGACGACGACGGCAGAATTTTTGTCCAAATTTTATCCAGCGAATTTTCGCCGGGAGAATATTTGCCCAAATTTTTTCCAGCGAATTTTCGCCGGGAGAATTTTTGTTTTAATTTTTTTGTGTGAATTTTGGGCGGTAGAATCTTTGTTTTCATTTTCCCGAACCAATTTTCGGCGGTAGGAATTATTGGAAGAGGATTTTGCAATAATTCGGTAGGCTTGTTTCACGGTAAATTACCATCGAAGAGAGAAAAAAAATTCAATTCGTTCTGTTTGTCTTGATATTTGAGTTCACTGGCACGAAGCGTATTAACATGATTGCGATGCCCTTATGAAAACGGAATATCTCGAGGGAAAGACGTAAAAGGATCATTTTTCTGTTTTTTTTTTTCCTTCCACTGCTAATTGCTTTTTCTGAGTATTCAGGAAATTGTGAAGAAATTTACCAAACTGATAAAAACAAGTAACTGATTAAAGTTTATCGACGGTTAGCCTGACATTGATTCATTTCTTATCTGAAATTTTGCGATGTTGTTTACTTTTTTTAAACTGTTCGAAATGCTAAGAATATTAGCACAGTGTTACAGATACTTACCTCACATATCGAATTAACGTTACCCGAGTAATTAAGGAGTAAACATGATCCTTCTAATTGAGAAAGAAGACCGTGTATTTGAAAGTTTGCGATATTTGCCGTTTAAAATGGTTCTTCTTCGTCTCGTCGACAATATACAGGGTTAATTGTTAGATAAACACAGGTCGTTTGAAGGTTTGTTAAAAAGTTAATGAAAGAACACGAAATAGAAAGAGAACGGTAACGGATGTGAGGTTGTGATAGAAAACAGGAATAGATCAGCGATATGTATATCTAGTCTGTTTATGCAAGCTCTGTTTACGATTTGCCAGCGCCATTTTCGTCTTATATCGTAGTAACCGCAATTCATTACCAATGCGCTTCGAATTTCCTATTTTTATTGGAACATTTAACAAAACTCCAAACGATCTATGTTTAAGTATATCAAATTTTTTTTTTTTTCGCTTAAATTTCATTGGAAAAATCTGAGACAGCCTGCATATATAAAAAACGTCTTACAGCAATTACAATAGGAGATAACGAATGAAAGTTGGGGAGGAAATTAAAACTCAAGAGAAACTCTCTCTTGTCGTCGAATCACTTTAGACGGTGGATTTTACGAATTATCTTTATTTGTTGATAGTGTTTTTCTTTACACTGTGGGGTTTGCGAATATAAAGTGTACGGTCTAAACTGCCTTGTTATTCAATGCTGACTGCCTTTGTTCTTTTTCGCGGCTGCCTTTATATTGGAGTTTTTGGGAGTTGCGGGTGGGGGAATTTAGGAATGCGTCCGTTAGGTAAGGACCAGGAACGTGTAAGGATAATGATCAGGGCTCGTTAGGATTGAGGGTTCGATGGTACGGGAGAAGAATTGCAGGGACAATGGTTAGGTAATGAACTTAATGAACTTAATGGTTAGGTAATGAACTTAAGGATTCGGTACAAAAGAAATGGGTAGAGTGTATCAGTTTGAAGATCTGCCGGAGATAGGACAGGAATTCGGTGGGAAAGTGGAAAACGCGCAGGTAGTTGTCGAAACGGTACCTGGGATGAGGATCTGTATGCATGGGAGTCAAGGGAGAAAGGGATGAGGATTCGACACTCGAAAGGTTGTTAATGTTAGACTTGTCAGTCAGTTAGATCTAACAAAAATGAATCTAAAGCCTTACTAGGAAGTATACACTACCGGCCAGAAGTTTGGAATCACCTGCCAATTACCATCGATATTGAATCTGCTACTAATTCTTTATGGATCTGAAATTGACGTTGTGGAGACCAATAGCACTTTGCCTCATTTCGATGGTTTGAATGATAAAAAATTCGTTAAGAGTTTCTTAAAATTGCAAACTTTTTTCTGGAAATTTTCGTGTAACTTACAATGCACAGTGATGCGAAACATTTGGCCGGTGGTGTATATTTCTTTTGTATACGTTCGGAGAAATCCGTTTAGCTTTACCACCTCTGTTTGGTAAAGATGTAAATGTTTATGATACGTGACAAAAGGCCCTTCGGTCCCAAGCGGGGTCGTAGGCAATATTAGGGCGTTGCGTAGGAGCATTCTCAGTGCTCTTGCCATCCAGTAGAACAGCGAAGCTTCCTTGTGTCTAATAAAAGTTTATAGTTTAAAATAAGGATTATTAATTATTTAACAACCAGTAACTCCCATAATCCAATAGTTAAACCTTATCAAATTCACTCGAGCGTGTAAATAATAGAATAATAATAAACTTCAATTTCGATTTGGTCAGTGAAATGATTGAAAGTGATGGAATGGTTTGAAAGAGTAGATTTCTATTTCCAAAGCCATTTCGAAATGGTAATTTATTCATTGATAAATAAAATTTAATTGAACACTTTACCGACCACTCACGATGACGTCACCGTTCACCATCCTTGAAATTAAAATTGGAACGAGTACTGGCGTCGTCCTGGTTCGTCTTATCGCGTTACTTTTAAATTTGATCCGCAACGACGGTGTTATGTTGTGTGATTTTTAATGCGTTACTGATCGACGAGTGCTGGAAGCAAAAGAACGGTTAATAGCAAACGATAAAAAAGGTAATAATAAGCTTCTGATCGGTGAAGTGTTGAGATTGCTTGAAATGCAAATTTCACAATGGAAGATTTATAAATAACGACGATATTACGAAATGAGATCTGTTAATAATAATATTATTGAAGCGGATTAAAAATATTATTGTCGATCGATACGCGTGAAGCTGATTAAATTTCGTTCGTGGAGAGATAGAAACATAGTTAAGTGTGTATTCGTATCTGAAAAATTTCAAATTCAATTTTCTCGAAGGTGAAATTTTATATTAGAAAATTTTACTCTCGTATATTTTTCAATACACTTTCTATAAAATATCACTCCGTACAAAGCACTTGTTCGCGATTTCCATTGAATTGTAAACTTAATTTAGGAAAATAAAATTATGTTAATTTTGCAGGCCACAGGTCGCACTTCTACATTCTACATTTGAATAAAAAAATCATTCCACAATTTTCACGCGAAAAACTGTACTCCAGAAGGAGTCGGTATCTTTGGTATAGGTATAATTAATTAACTGCAAACGAAAGTAGAGAAGTTTGCAGAATAAAAAGGTATTCTATGCTTTACTGAAAAATCCACTTTAGCACTTTCAACGTTAATATTACAAAAAAGGATTTGAACTTCGACTCTTTAGTGTTGTTGTTATTATCGTTTATTAGCTTCTCGTAACTGAAAGCATGACGGAATTGCTCGATATACTTACTCGAGATAAGTGTTCTATTCTCATAGAGACGACGGTGACGTAATTGACAAATAAATCTGCCTAACACGTATGTACGAGTATCCTCCACGCAATTTCAGCGGGAGACGACAAATTCTTTTTATTTACCTCTCTCTCTTCGTTTTCACTTGCATATTTCATATTCCAAACGTTTATATTTCAACTGTATCTTATAAACAATAACATGTACATTGCTATCTCTGTACACGCGACAGAAAATCTAGCGAGTTCTGTAAACGTATATAAAAATGAAAAGAAATACAACATGTATGTATATACAAATCTTTTTACGGTTGAAACGATCAGAAGTACTAATTTGAGCGATGTACTTCAGCAACCACTGTTACGTCCTTGATTTTCAATCGAGTGAACTATTTCGTGGATTAAACTCTTCAATCGTGTGACAATTATCCTAAACGAACAAAGATTGCGTATCTCGTTCGAACGGACTTTGAGGTGACATTAATCTCATCGTAACAAACAAGTCCAGCGAAAGAATATGTCATTTTCTACCCGTTCAGAATTCACAATAGCGTCTGAATTAGAAAAACTCAACCCGATCAATTTTCCTTCCATTCCACACGCAAGCGAAAGAAATCGAGCTAGTAGGTAATAAAATCATACGAATAAACATCGAGTTGTCACCTACAACTCCGCATTTCCTCTGGAAAAAAATTAAAAAAAATGTATCGAAGCAACGTAAAGCGAATTTTTCTAATACCAACCTAGCTTTATGTATACAAATAATAAAATAACGATAAGACGCAAGAATTCACGTGGGAAATTTCACGCGGGAAGACGAAAGATTTGTTTAAGCAGCAACACCGTTGCTGCACACCGAATTGTCTAACAAAGGCTGAGTGTTGCTCCTCGGCTGAACGTCGAACCAGAATCCGTTCTCCGCGGTCATAGCGAATCCTTTCTTGCTCAGCTTCATCGGTATCACGGTCTTCGAGCACGTCTTGAACGTGCACCTCGCGAAAATATGGAACAGAAGAACCTTCGCCTCCAGTATCGCGAATCTGTTACCGATGCACATTCTAGGTCCCATACCGAAGACCAAGAACGCGCCAGAGTTCACTTTCTTCGGGTCGTCGTAGAAACGATCGGGGTTGAACTTGTTCGGCTCGGGGAAGTGATTAGGATCGTTCTGTATGCCGTAGATCGGCAGCCATAGGAATTCACCGGGTTGAACGACGTGCGGTTTCCCTCCAGGCAGTGCTGGCGGCAATTCGAACGCCTTCACGCAAGCTCTGTCCACAGCGACGATCACCGGGTACATTCTCAGCGCCTCGTTGATAATCGCGTCCAAGTATTTCATGTCGTTGATAGCCTCGTAGGTGACTTCTCCCTTGCAGTCCTCCAGAACCTGGTCGATCTCCTCCTGCAGCCTCTTCTGGATCTCCTCGTTCACGCCGACTTCGTAGGCGGCGAAACACATCAAAGTTGACGTGCTCTCGAAGCCACCGAAGAAGAATATGAACGCTTGCGCGGTCATGTCCTCGATGGACAGCTCCTTTCCTGGTCCCAACTTACCTCTGGTCTCCATCATCAGTTGAATCATGTCTGGACGAACGATACCTTGCTCGTCCCTGGTCTTTATCGTCGTGCCGACGAGGTCTTTGAAAAATTCGGCGATCTCGTCTCGGACTACTTTCACGCCCAGCATTCTAGACAATTTGGGTATCGTTCTTATCAGGAAGAACTTGAGCGACTGAGATCTGCTGAAATTCGTCGCTTCCCTGCCGTACACGTAGAACTTGTTCTTCGGCTCTTTCATGGAGTTCACTTCGATACCGAAGGCACAAGTACCGATCACGTCGTTGGTGTATCTGGTGAACGCTTCTTTGAGCTCTATGATTCTTTGGTCGGGTGGAATCGAGGCTAGATAATCTCCGTACAGCTTGGCACAGTCGCGCATCAACACGAACATCGCCTTCATCTTGCTGGACGTGAAAGCTGGGCTCAGCAAGGTTCGCACCTCTTTCCACCTGTCTCCGCGGAGGGCAAACAGGTTTTTGCTGAACAGAGGATCTGTTTTCATATCCTGGAAGGACCTGTGGTTCGGGAAATGCTCGAAGTTCTTCACGGTGATGGATTTTATCAGGTCCAAATCGCGGAGACCGATTACAGGTGTCGCGAAGTCGAAGAAACCGACGTATTTCGCTTCGGCGTTTATGTTGTAGATCTCTTTGGTTGCTTCGGCGAACGTGACTTGTAGAAGCATCGCCTTCCAGATGCTGCCCAGTATGGGGATCGGTCGGCTGTAAGGGATCCCACGTCTTTCGAAAAACCCATAGTCCGTGGTGAACTTGTAGTATAGCACTATTATCACGGCGATCAACGCTGCAGAAACCGACCACCACTCCATGTTGACATTCACTCGAGGCAATTGCCTTTTACTAAATTCGTTTGCTTGCTCACCACTTCACAACACAGCGCGGTTAATAGTTGCTTTAAAGTCACGCTATTCTTGGAAGTTTCTTTCTGATCCCGACGATCACACTTCGGTCGAATTAAACGTTCGATAATTTTTCCTTCAAGAAAATTCGATTTTTCATTATTTTCGAAATTTTTCAATTAATGTTTCTCACGATCGACAGAAATGGTCGAAATTTGAAACGAAAATCCTGTTTCAGGCTTGTGATAGTATTATCGAGGACGGAAGTCACTGACGATCCGACTTGGACGCTGTCTGTGAAGCGACTGTCTGGGATAGTAATACATCGCGCGCCTTTTTTATACGGAGCAACACATTGGGATGATGAAACACGGTTTGTGTTTCGAAGAACGTTGTATTTCATAGAGAAGAAAGGTGGTTTGTCCAGCTTGAATGCGCTTTTTTCATTCGTTCGCGGTGTACGTTCGTCACATTTGCCCCGCTTAATTTTTATCTGTCGTTCCGCGACATGTGAAACCCGCGTGAAAATTATTTCCGTCTGTTTGGAGTCATTCCGACAATCGGTCTCAACGTGCGTCACGTGTTTGTGTGTTTCGCGGTATCGTCCGTTTCGATCTTCATCGGTAATCCTTAGTTTCGGGAATTTTTTCGATTTCGCCTGAGACGTAGAAATATCGCAAAGTGGGGAAAATGAACGGAGGCAAAGTTTAATTACCGCGGGCTGCTTCGACATTTTTTGAAGTTTCTTTCACCGAGAATTATAGTATTACGTGTAATTATAACGCGATGGAAAAATATAACGATGAGTTTGGAAAATAGTAATTTAGGAATGAAATTTTTAACGTACTTTTTCTGTGAAGGACTGTTATCGATAAGACGTTAACGACGAACATTGTTAGATATTAAAATTAGTTCGTACGTGGCAGTGTTTAAAGGATACTTCAGCTTCGTTGAACTATAGAAATGAAGTTTGCAAAAGCAACAGAATTTTTCACTCCAAGTTCGTAACTGTTTAAAGCCTCTTGATCGATCGAAACTTGCAAATGAATCTTTACCATATAATGCGATACTTCCAAAGAACGTTATTTCAGAAAATTTGATAAAATGTAACTTGAAATCGTTATTTACACTAAAAACATAAAAAGTACAATAATTTTCTCTACGAAAATCATAGCTGCTGCACTTTGTCTACCACAGATAATTAAATTAGAAAAATTTCCGAACAAAATGAAATTTTATTTCAGTACACGCTCTTCTCCAAACGAGAAACTACAAAAATCATCGTTTATTCACCTCACTTTCATTCGGAAAATACAAAAAACCACTGAAATCACGCCAAGCACGCCAAATCTCAAAGTACCTTATTCCTTGGTAAAATTTGCAACCAAAAATCGTTCGCCGATGTCAAAAACACCCCAGTCTTCTTCAATTCCATAGGCACGCCCGTTTTATCGCAAGCTTTCAGCTCACATCGAGCAAGAATATGAAACAGTACAAGTTTCGCCTCTATCAACGTGAATCTGCTGCCGATACAAATTCTGGGTCCCAAACCAAACGGAAAGTACGCTAGGTGATCGAGGCCGCCGGTCGGTTTTCGTAGAAATCGGTCCGGATCGAAACTGTCCGGTTTCTCGAAGTATTTCGGATCCCTGTGGATCGCGTGTATCGGTATCCACAGGAGAGCACCTTCGTTCACGAAGTACGGCTTCATCCCTGGCATGGCCGGCGGTAATTCGAACCGTTTCGAACATTGTCTGTCGGTAATAGGTATAATTGGATACATTCTCAACGTCTCGTCGACCACAGCATCGAGATACTTCATACTGTACAATTTTTCGTACGTGATTTCATCGGTCTCCTTGCAAACTCTGTCTATTTCGTCGCGAAGCCTTCTCTGAACCTCTGGATTCGTCGCCAGCTCGTAGGCAGCGAAACAGGCGAGGCTGGAAGTAGTCTCGAAGCCACCGAAGAAGAAGGCGAAAGCGTGAGCGGTGATATCTTCGATTGTCAACTCTTTTCCTGGACCAAGCTTTCCCCTAGCCTCCATCATCACTTGAATGAAATCTGGCCTAGCTACGCCTGTCTCCTCTCTGATCCTTATACTCGAAGACACTACCTCCTCGAAGAAATCCACGATCTCCTTGCTTACCACAGTTACACCCAGCTTTCTCGACAATTTCGGAAACATTCGAAGCATTATCATCTTGACAAGGGCTAAGCTATGAAACTTCATAATCCTCCTGCCGAACGTGTAGAACGTGTTCTCTCGATCTTCCAGAGAATTTACCTCGATACCAAAGGCACAACTGGCGAAAACGTCGTTGGTGTACCTTGTGAAGATGTCCTTCATCTCTATGAAATTCTCTTCCGGTGGAAGTGTCGACAAATAATCGCCAACTTTCACCGCTATCTCGGATATTAGCGGGAACATTGCTCTCATCTTGCTGGACGTGAAGGTTGGACTGATCAACGCGCGCACTTGTTTCCATCGATCGTCCCGGAGCAACAGGAGGTTCCTCTTGAGAATCGCCTCCGTGTTCTCGTTGTCGAAGCCTCGATGATTCGGGAAGCGATCGAAGTTTCTCACAGCGACGGATTTAACCAGATCTGGATCGCGAATCACCAGTATCGGTGTCGTTCTGTTGTAAAATCCCACGTATCTCGCCTCTGGCTCGAGATTGTAGGTGTCCTGCGCTACCTGAGCGAACGATTTTCGACCGAGTAACCACGGCCATGTGGTTCCTAGCAGAGGAATCGAGGTTTTGCAGGGAAGACCGTGAGCTTCGAACGGATCCTTCCGTTTAAAGAAATAGTATACCGCTAGCATTGCCAGGAGGATCGACAGCGTTAGCGATAGATCCATGGTGACGGCGTGTTTTTGAGGTTAGGTTCGCAGGTTCGATACGTCTCGCAGTAGCGTTCGATCTGTAAACGATTCGGTCGATGAAAAAGTATTTCTGCGTGGAGTGACGGAGTCGTTAGAAACCGAGATAATTGCACGATCTGAACAATTGTGAATCGAACGGTTGCTCGATGATCTAGCGATGAAAATATGGAATAATTGTAGGATAATCGTGTTTTCTCTCTAATTACGAGTCTCCCGAATGAGAGTAGTTAATAAATTAACTACCTTGAATACTCACGGAAGAAACAACTTACGTAGGTTAGGTATCCAAGAAGCTTGTGACGTAGTGGATCAAAGTTCAGCTTTATGTGGGCACCTAACCTCTATGTGCATAGAAATGAATAATGACGAGTTAATTACGGCAAACTCTGTTATTTTTTAAGGAACGTTCTGTGAAAGAAGAAGTAATTTAATATGGAATTTGTTTTTTTGTTTGGTCGGATATTAATATACGTTTCTTGCGATATTATTAAAATTACCACTGCGTTCGTTTCTTTTTTATGTCGTTTCTTGCTGCATGTTTAACTGAGAATCTCAGTGTAATTGTTTTATTTTCTTTGATTTATTAAGAATAATTGCAAGCATTGCTATAGAATCTTTTTCAATTCTACAATAATCTTGGTACCGGATTCTATTTAAATTTCAAACATCGTGCGCTCAATAATATAACCTGAAAAGAGAAAAATTGTGAACACCAATCTAGGTCTAATCTTTTCTCGCTCCGTCAATCTCCAGATAACGAGTACATACTATTTACCAGAAAAATAGTAGGAATCTTCTTTTACGCGTTGAGAAAAATTCACGAAGCGTTTCTTTTAATAATCACTTATCTATTCGATTTAATATTGAATTATTTAAACAACTTTAGAAAAGACATTTACCTCGTTACACTTTGTCCTCCACTTACGGTTATCTTTCTTGCGTCTCATTTTCAGTCAGATACGAAACCGACTAAATGTAATTAATATGTCTCTCAAGTTTCTTCAAGTGGTGTTTACCTTATCACATGTGACTACGATGACTAATTGTAAATACGTGTAGATGAATTTACGCAGCATCGAATCTTCGCTTCCTTCTCGCTGGAGTAAAAGCTACGCAGCTGTTTCGTAATCAGTTCATCAATGAATATCGATTATAGTAGCGTTTGATATTCTGTACGCAACTATACGCGGAAAATACTCTTATTATCGTATACACCGAAGATTTCTCAACGTTACAAAAATTATTTAACTTTAAAAAACAATTTTTCTTTATTATATTTTTCGCATATTGGATTATGGGAGTTATTGGTTGTTAGATAATTAATAATCCTTATTTTAAACTATAAACTTTTAGTAGACACAAGGAAGGTTCGCTTTGCTACTTGATGGTAAAAGCACAGTATACGGACTGAGAATGCTCCTACGCAACGCCCTAATATTGCCTACGACCCCGCTTGGGACCGAAGGGCCTTTTGTCACGTATCATAAACATTTAGATCTTTACTAAACAGAGGTGGTAAGGCTAAACGGATTTCTCCGAACGTATACAAAAGTAATATATACTTCCTAAGGCTTCAGATTAATTTTTGTTATATCTAACTGACTGATAAATCTAACACTGCAATCGTAGAGTCATTGTTTTCGAGCACAACTGTGATAAATTGGCGAATGTGTGGGGAAAACACGTTTTATCGAGAGGCAATTCATTCGTAAGTAAAACAATAAAAACTGCATCCTCGTGTATTCTCATTTATTCACCTGTCGAATGTGAATATTAATTAACTTGACCAGTGACGTGAAATCTGAATGGGTAATGTAAGGCGCTGTGCGACGCGCCTGGGCAACGACCGCGGGACCAGAGCCGCAGGGGGCCCTAGACAAGGAGCAGCGCAGGCTGCACCCCCACTCTACGACTTGCAGGGGGCCCTAGACAAGGAGCAGCGCAGGCTGCACCCCCCACCCCACGGCTTGCAGGGCCCAAACGGTCGAAGAAGCGTATAAAAACGGGAAAAAGGGCAGCGGCCCACACATTATCGTACCTAGCCATCGACGAGCGAACTAACGTCATTTTAATATCTGTCGTTTTAAGCCCCTTGTAATTTTTTACTCTTACAGTAATCCACTTTTTATCCGAAAGCAATACTAAATATTTCTTGTTTATTCGGATACATCGAATAGGAAGTATTGTTCTATTCTAGGATACAAAATACCAGATTATTCGTTGATTAATTTACGTATTCAATTCGAGTATTCAGTATTCTACATATTTTAATTAGAAAATTATTCGAAGATTCTCATCTCTGCTCTGTATATTTATATATGAATCTGTGTTTCACTATCTTTAACCTCTTGGCTGGGTTCACCTTTCGAACGAAAATTGAAGTACTCTAGTTTACAATTGAAGGTGAGTGAAAATTGTGACCAATTATTTTCTTTCTTTGTGTGAAGTACTTTATACTTAATACAGGTTTAATAGTACAATTAAAAATGAATAAATGAAGTACTGTGCTCTAAAAATTGGTAAATCAACGACGAGTTAACTCGTCTTCCTCAACTAATATTATAGATTAAATACTGGATCCGTTCTCGAATCTTTTGTTCCTATGCTATTTAAAAAAACTAATTTTACCACTTCGTGCACAAAGAAGTATTTACACAACACAAAGTCCTCCTCCATATCAGACAACTTTCATAATAACAAGTTTTTGTTATGATGTAAATTTCAGGATATTTGTTTGACTATATTAGTTTAATAATATCAACTTTTTCGTATTTTGAACGCTCTGCAAAAATTGTGCAAAAATTTCATTCAAATGTAAATTCCAGAATATTTGAAATATTTGTTTGACTGTATTGACATAATAATATCAACTTTTTCGTATTTTGAACGCTCTGCAAAAATTGTGCAAAACTTTCTTTCAAATGTAAATTCCAGAATATTTGAAATATTTGTTTGACTGTATTGACATAATAATATCAACTTTTTCGTATTTTGAACGCTCTGCAAAAACTGTGCAAGAATTTCATTCAAATGTAAATTAGAGAGTACTCGAGGTATTTGTTCGACTATATTAATATATATTATATACAATAACATAATTGACGTACACGAACTGTTTCCTTTTTCAATACCGGACGTAGGTACTTGTAGAATTTCGCGCGTGACAGCGCAAGGTTCCCATCTGACGAAAATTTCTCTCTAATTCCGTTCTTCAGCGAATCTTTCCCCTTGCATCACCTGTAGAACGCCACAAAGACTGGTTCGCCATTCGAATGATGTAACCACAGCACATTCACTCGAGAAAACATACTTAAGTACGTGCGAATTTACTGATGTAACGTTTCTCGGTGTAATTGCAACTCGATTGTTATATTTGCAGTAAACAATATTATCGAATCTCCGGTGTCCGTGAAACAATCAATCTTGTTGTTTGTGACTGATAATAATTTATCAAGGGAATCGGACGGTATGATGCGTTTCTCCAAATATCCTTCGTTCTTTGTTAGAACTATACCTTGTCGCGTTAGTTGACCTGTGGACAAAATTTAAACAGCAATCGGGACAGGTAGAATTCTAGAAAATTTCAGGTATGTTTCTTCTCCATTGAGTGCGAGTGAGATACGGATACCTGATGCGAAATATCGAGGTCCTCCTCACTCCGCGAAGTGGGAATAGCGGTGGTCAGATAACAAGGCAAATCCCGGTCAGCTAACGCGACTGTGCTGTATGTACTTGGAACAATTATTTGTAATGGTTACTAATTTTCCTCTTATTTTTTTTTTTTGGAGTAATTTGTAAAAATTGCTGTCTTTTGGCTTGTTGCCTTTAGCGTTGGCGTATGTTTGAAGTGACCAGATTTTCTGAAGGCAAATTCAGTCAATTTTTATTTAAAAGAAGGATATATTTGGTAACTGATATGAAAAAAAAATTAAAATTTAATTATTGTATTTAATTAAATAGAAAAATAAATCAAACTTTCTACATTTTTGTTGTTAAATATAACGAGTGCATAATACTCGAGTACCTTCTATTTAAATAATGGTTGCACATATTTAATTGAAGAAAAAATTGCATTCGTTATTTAAAATTTCTTCGCAAAACTGATTACATGTTTTTCAAAGAATCTGACTCTAATAGACTTTTTCTTCTCACTTATTTTTGAAACAATATTCTTCCCTGATTTCCATAATTTTGATATCACAGAGGTGTCGTGAGAGATATTTGACGAAAGTGAAGGAGTCGAGCGTATTTCAGGAACAATTGTAAAATGAAATTTTACGATATTAGAAAGCGAGAGAGATTATAGAATTAAGATTCAACCGGCACACAGTTTCCGACTTATTTCGCGTGTAATAGAATTTACATTAATTTCGCTGTGAGCTCGCATACAAATTCAGATTTCCACGGATTATGACCTATGCCGTTCGCTGCAGCATTTATTTAAACCGAACGAAACCTGCTGAAATTAGAGTACACCTATGTCGCGTCTAACTAAATATTTGCATGAAATTGCGACGCGTGTACGATGGAAAGTGGTATTGCTGGTAAATGAAAGGAAATTTCGGCCAAAAATTGTGAAAATTACAAAATAGTCAAACCGAATACGTGTTTATGCTGCTTTAATAGCTTTAGAATGCAAAAGGTGCATATATATGCAGATTAAATGATTTACATTAGGTTGGCGCGTGTGAAATTGTCATTTCGCGCTGGGAAGATTGAATACAAACATTTTTCCTGTAATACTATAAATTCTTGTTTCTTGCAAATTTTTGCTTTTCTCAATTTGAGGGAGTTGAAGTATGAAAATTTCATGATAGAAGAAATCATATGCATAATTTTCTTATTTCTGAATTTTTTCTCTGAATTTTCTTATTTCTGAATTTTATTCTCCCCTGAGTTTTCACGTAAACTGCATCAAACAATTCCATTTCTTAGTTTCCAAGTGCCTTTCGCTCCCCAAAAATCAGTAAAATAATTTTTAACCAACTTTTCCATGCAAACACGTCCGTAACATCGCATCTTTCGGTTAGAGCCCGTGATTTGAGATTTAGCGGGCTCTGTAAGACGCGCACACGACCCTACCTATACAGATCAATCGATGTTTTCGCTTAACGTCGTGATTTACGACCACGCTATAGCTCTCCGAGCAAGTATACGTCTGACGCGAATGCAACAGCTGAAAATTGCTTATAGGAAAACTGCTTATAGGAATGCTTCTCTCCACTGTGTTTACAAGTGTCTGACGCATACGTTAAAACAGAGCCGCTCAGGTGAACATTTTTCAGTCATCGGTATAAATATTAGCCCGCCGTGGCTCGCGGGCAGCGCTGTGGGCAACGCTCGGGGCATATGACGTCGACATTCGTTAAAACGAAGTGGGGAGGAACGATTGTAGTGGGAGTTTAGGCTCGTAAGTTCGCAGATAGGCGTGTGTTGGTACATTCGCGAGGTGTTTCGTACTATGGATTACTTTTCCCAGCACGTATAGTCGATGGAACCGATATAGCGATGTAATAAAATCAGTTAGGCGACGAGGAACGCATAATTCGAGCGCCAAAACAGCAATTCGAAGGAGATAACGAGCCTAGCTCAGGGATTGTGTGTATTTAAAAAAATTTGTTTGTGTCTTAATTGTTGACAGCTGCAGGTTAATTTTTACCCGTATGGAAATTATTATTGGAATGGAACTTGGAGTAAATTAGAGAAAAGTGTTTATGAAATTATTGTTTCGACTTAACACTAATTGAGAAGTACATATTTTCGTTTCTATTTTTGGCGAATTTTTCAAATCTGGAGCTGCACCTGACTTGTCAAAGAAAGTCCCTAAAACGCTCTGAAGAAGCAACACTAAATACCCGTATTTCTTGTTTATTCAAATATCGAATAGGAAATACTATTCTCTTCAAAATTCGAGTCGAGTACAAATTACACAAATATTCAACATTTCACTGCATGATTAAACACACTATTTTATTCGCCTCTCTTATCAATTCTTCCGTCAATATTTACTTATCAAAGAGAGTCCCTGCAACGCAACGAAGAAAAAACCATCTCTCTCCTTCTCCAAAATAAACTTTCATGCAAATTCTCTCTCTCT